AAAAAAAAAAAAATTACTATAGGCATGACTAATATAAGATAGTACTGATGACAGGAAGAACACTCCTTCCAGCCTTTGCTTAGATAACAAATCCTGCAAGGCAGCAGAATATGGAACAGGTTGCACTGGATTACATGTTACCAGTAGCAGGATGATCATGAAGACCATACTCCTGACCTGACTGTAATATTGATTAAAATATGTTTTTTTTGGGCCGCTCTTTCAATCGCGGGGTAAAGCAAAAATGGCAATGATGTTTATCTAATAGGATAAACTAGGTATTGGTGCTGAGCCTCTTCAAAGCGCTAATAAACGTGATTCTGAGTAGAAGTTTATTACCGCAACTACATAAATTATAATTACACAAAAGCAATAATGTTTTTCTTTATAAAATACCTCCTATCATTTTATATTTATTCATTTTAAATATTGATATATCTATGCATATGTATATTTGTTTTAAAGGAAGTTTTGTATTTAATGAAGATTTATGGTTACTTATGTGTGCTGTTTTGTTTTAGGTATACTTTTTAGGTATCTTTGAGTCTTTGATCAACAAGTTTCTCACTTCACGTCTTGAGTCAAATAACTTACTGCCAGATAATCAATAGATTTTTCAATGCTCTCGCTCTACAGCTGATTTGCTAACTGCTGTGAGTGAAAGATTTTATCATGCATTAGATGGAGGCGGAGAGGCTAGGGCTATTTCTTTAGACATATCTAAGGCTTTTGACAAGTTTAGTTTTCTGGTCTTCTCCATAAGCTTGTTTCATATGGTGTATCTGAGAAAGTTTTTTAGATCATCAAATCCTTTCTTTCTAACCGCCTTATTAAAGTCATCCTTGAAGGCCAACACTCTTCTTTATTTCCAATAACTTCTGGGGTACATTAAGGCTCTATCCTTGGTTCTATTTTGTTTCTTATCTACATTAATGATCTTCCTGACAACCTTACATCTAAAGTAGCTCTTTTTGCTAATAACTCAACTTTATACTCCTGTCTTGGCAAAAAGTATTTTCAAATTCGATTGATTAGAAGGCAGCCAATCTTGAATTTAATTTCACTTCTGTAGCAGGTTCAGTTAACAACTGAGTTTTGTTGGAGTTAAAATTTACAAACCACTGTTCACAGTGGTTTGTAAATTTTAACTCCATCAAAACTCAGTTGTTTGCTGCAAACAACTATTGCAGTACTGTAGACACTCCTATATTGATGAATGGCAACCATATATACAATCGATTTAGTTATGAAAACCATATATACAATCGATTGCTAAATTAGCATCTGTTAAGGTTGCTTCTCTTTATCGTGCTTGTCATTCTCTTCTAGACAATGTTTAAAAGCGCATTGTAAACTTATTTGGACCCAGTCTATCTGCTAAGCATGAGCCTCTTTTTCACCGTTCAAAAGTTGCATTTCTCTTTTTTACAAATACTATTATGGTTGCTGCTCCAAGGAGCTATCATCTATAGTTCGATCAACTAAAACTCATTTTCACTTGACTTGTCATTCAGCAAAGTCTCATTCTTTTACTGTATCTGTCCCTGCATGCTCTAAAACTTTTATTTGATTAGTTTTTTTTCTTGCCCCTCAACCCTTTGTAATTCTCTCCCATCTTCATGTTTTCCTGACTCATACAACCTTCAACTTTTCAATTCTTCTGTCAACCATTTCCTTGCTCTATAACTCTATTCTTTTTTTCTAGTAACTCCCAACTTAATAGTGGTTGCTTTTCTATTAACTCGTAACTTAATAGTGGTTACTTGCAGCTTTGTTGGAAGTGAATCAGAATTAAAAAAAAAACTTAAGTAATAAAATTACTGCTGACTATAATTTGTGTATAAACTTGTTTATACACAAATTATACACAAATTATAGTAATAAAAACAAAGAAAAACAAACAGATGTTTAGAATAAAGATCTTTCTGGTTTTTGATTACAGCAATTAACTTACTATCACCAGCAAATAGCTTGCAGGTATTGTGAACTAGTTCAGGCATGTCATTAATAAATAGGTTAAATAGATAAAAGTGGAGATAAAACTTCGCCTTGTGGTACACCAATTAATACTGGGAGCCATTCAGATACTTCATTATTAATTACAACCCTTTGTTACCTGTTTGAGAGAAAGTTGTGTAGCCAATTTGAAAATTTTTTGTCGAAACCATAACTTTTATTTTAGCAATTAGTAGTTTATGATCTACTGTATCAAATGCTTTAGCAAAGTCAAGGTAAACCACTAAAGCAAAAAATCCACTGTTTTAAGCATCGGTTATTACATCTATTTATTCAAGTAAATTTGTGATTACTGATTTACCTGTTGTGAATCCATGTTGTTCTTTAGCTATTAAGTTATGTAGGTTGAAGTAACATCATTTTCTTTCCTTTTTTTGGAATCGGTGTGATATTTATTTGTTTTATCAGCGTCCAAACAGGAGCTTTAGATGTTATAAATTTTTTTGCTTCAGGTTTTTTTAATATTCAAACTAACTTCTTTTTTTATATATATAATTTTAAAAAACCTTTTTACTACCCCTAAGAGTGATTCTAAAGAACACCATTTTAGAGTCTTTACATTACTTTCGTTCATCGGCATTAACATGAATTTAGTTAAAATTTTTTGAAAAAGTTCCTCAACCCACTATAGATCTTAGTTCTAATCGGTTTTGATGTATATTAACTATATATAGTAGTCAAAATACAATATTTCTATTATTTTTCACAAAAAATACTTGAATTCTGACCAAAAAAGAGCTTATAATTAAGAAAAATTGCAAATAAACAGTTAGAACAGATCATATTATTAAACTATGATAGTTATTTCACCTAAACAATGTATTTATTTAAAATCTTATTCAAATTTGGACAAGGGATTGTTGTTTTAAGAAGGTTATTTTTAAAAAAAATGAATCCACAGTCTGGATTTTTTTGCTAAGAACATTTATATTTTTTGATACCGCAAAATTTATCATTTTAATTTTTTCTTCTTTTCATAATTCACAGACCTGATCATTAAACAGAAATATGTGGTAGTCAACTTAATATCATACAAACGCTAAATTATTTTAAAATTGCCTTAACTACACCAAGTAGGTATATAATCCTTATTAAAATTTTCTGAACTTTTTATTAACTGAAAAGTTTTCCACTTGTTGAAATGTCTTAAATATAATAAGTAAAACTTGACATGTTTAGTTTTTCAAACAGTTAACTCTTATTTACTTCCAACAAGGTTGCAAGCAACCACTATTAAGTAATAAGTTATAAGTTATTTTAAAATACAGGATATGGTTTAAAAGGTAGGTAATGGTTGCAGTATTTTATTTTTCGTTGGTGATAAGGTTTTTGCAAATCTATTCTTTCAGCAGACCAATATTTGCTTGCCTAATAATTGGATTAATGTTCGTTTCATAGCTCTAAACTATCAACATTTTCTTCCTTGTCGTTCAAAAAATATTCCTGTTCTAAATAAGTTGATTTTTCCTGTTTTCCTAAATTTTTTGACAAAAAACAATTATATTTATCATATAGAACCTTGATAATTGCCCATTGAATGCCTTGCACTAAACACAATTGATGATTAGCACTTATTAACTTTCCCACTTTTTTCATTATTGATACTCCATCTGTCGTTATTGGAACTACTTTGTCTAAATGAAATACCAAATATTTTATTTTTCCTCTAAAAGTACATTTATCTGCCGGAATTGATCCATAACCTCTAGCAAGAGCAAGACTCTAAAATTTGTCTTGTACATTGTGTATGCATCTACATTAACATTCATATAACATAGGTTTTTTACAGAAGTCCGTTCATCTAATGTAATGCTAAACCCTTCACCTTGATTAGCTTGCATTTTAAGTTCATTCAAAATTTTTCGAGGTGTTATTCTATAACACCTTGTTGTCTTAACAACATGCTCGTCTTACAAAAGTGTTCTCTAGAACTTTGAATTATTTAACAAATGCTTAACTGAATCTTTTTTTTTTTCTGCTTGCTGGAAATTAGCACCTTTGGTTTCAATATATGAAAACTTTAGAGATTGTTTTAATTCGCTAAACTAATGCCTAGTTTTTTAACTATTCTTAGCAAATTCTTTGATTCTTTAATTAGCAAACTTTTTAATACCTCATTTTGAGTGTAACACACATCACACATCTGACAATCAATACAAATATCAATACAGATATCAATAGTCTGACAGATTTCAATCCTCCTGCTTTATTGTTTGTTAACTGTTATAACAGAAAACATTTTTTGGAATATTTTTGTTTTTATTCTTTTATAAAAGGCTTCATTCTTTTTGTTGTTCCTTATTTATATTAATGAATTTCGTGATAATCTCACCTCTTAAGTTGCTAATGACTACATACTATAAAACCTTTATTTATTTTAATTTAATTCTCTCCCTTTTTTGATATTTTCTGTATCGTACAATTTACTGTTTTTTATGTGAACTTTTCTGTAACTCTCTTAGTTGTTTTCTGTTAACTTGTAACTTGATTGGTTGCTTGATTTTCTTTTTTAACTTAATTATTTGCTTGATTTTCTGTTGTAACTTGATTGATTACTTGCAGCTTTATTGTTATTGAATTTGATAATGATAATTGATTTTATGAAGTGTACACGCATTATTATAAGCAGATATGAAAGTTCCTTTAAACGGATCTCAAACTACTGAGACATGTTGTGTTCATAATAAAGAGAATCATAAAGAAAAAAAATTTTTTTCAAGAGTTTTTCTAAATTCATTATTATTTGTCGCTTCATAAATTCTTTATTATTTGTGGCTTCATAATTTACTATACTTCAGTTTTATACTATACTTTATCTTCCTTTAAATTTTTGTTTATTTTTTTAGTAAAATTTTGTTTATGCAAAAAGTAATCTAAATTGTACAGTTACCCTTTTACATTTAGCAATTTTTGTATGATATATAATTTTTCTCAATTATAAACTAAAAAATTAGCAATATATAAATTTTTTTTTTTTTTTTTAGGCGATATGTAAAGGTACCTGTCAATGTTGAACATACACCCATCAGTAGTGAGGAAGATTTTGCAAGTAATAAAGACTCTGACAGTATTGAACAAATATCTCCTGGCATTGAGCCTTCACCAAATAGTACTGTTGATGATGAAAGTAATTTAATACATTCTTCATATTTTATATTTTCTTATAGCTTGTTTTATATTTTTTGTTTATTTTACTTTACCAACCCTAATTCCCAGGGTTGTTTATGTGTATATATTTATACAAAATATGCTCATGTATATAGCTCTGTAGAAATATGTTCTAAAGTATATCTTGCAAATTCAGCGTACATTGTAGCAAGTACTGTGGCACATAGTATATATTTTTAAAATGTTGTAGGATTCGATTTATACATTTTAATTACCTTATTTTTGTAGTTTAAAACAGCTTCTGCAACTAACTTGTTGAGTAATCAATTTTGCTTGTTTTACAACATACCAATTTTATTTTTATATCTAAAAGAACAGCACCGAAATTTCATAAACAACCTATATTTATCTCTAGATGCAGTTCTAATCTCAGCATTAAACCACTTTGGATTGTAAAATTTAATTTATGAAAAACAGTATATTAATTCAAAAAGATAGTTTAAAGTACTATAGCAACAAATAATGAAGGCAATTTTTTGCTATACAGCCCACGGCAGACCCAACAACAATATTGAAAATGCGATCAGAGTGGTCAGAAAATACCAAGTCTTATGTGTTGTTGAGAAAAGTAGGTTTGGTAACAAACCAGGAGAGAAAGTAATCGCTAATATTTTTAAGAAATTCATGACTAGTAGGTTTTCCTATAATGCAATGATTACCCAATTAGGTCTATTTAATATTGCTGTGGTTAAAGTCACCAACAATCAGTAAACAGGCGTTTACTAATTGTTGAAAACCACGCATTAACACTACTTATACTATTAGAATTTTATTTAAGTTTATCAATTTCAAGATGTTTCAAGTCATCTGCTTTTAAAAGAACTAATTCTTGAAAAAAGAGTTAAAACCAATCATAATATTTTTCCACATCAAGTATGCAGTTGCTTAGTCAGTTCACTTAAGTTTCCTAGGGCGATCCTCTGTCAATTTTCTGCTTAAAGGAAGTATGTGTTATTTGAATATATATCTGCGCCTCCAATGATGAGTTGGTCTTTGATAGGAGAGTACCACCCTGATTAAGTTTGATTGAGGAAACTAATTAAATTTTGTTTTTTAAAAAACCGTTCAAGTGTAAATAATAGACTAGAATGTTTTTAAAAACATACATAATTTTTTATTAAAAAAAGAAGTAGAGCGTTCAGAATGTTTTTATTTTTTTACTGTTTACATACATCCACTGACAAATAGGTAGAACATGCCCGGAATGTTACTACATCTGAATGCTTCTACATCAAACTGAGGTTTGGTTTGGGGTCTATTAATTAAAAAATTTTTATTAACTTTTTGCTGTCTTTTATATGAATTTTTTAATAAAAACATCATCTTGACATTTTATGGTAAAAATTAATAACCACCAAGTAGCATAAATAAGGGGCTCGTCTGCAAAATAGAAGTCACAAAAATAAAAATTTTGAATTAATCATATTTTCACATTCTATATACTGAAATCTATCATCTATTTAAATTTTAACCATTTAAAAAATTTTTGGTCATAAAAGTTGAAAATATCATACACACACACCACACACACACACACACACACACACACACACACACACACACACACACACACACACATGCACACACACACGCATGCACACACACAGATATATATATAAAACTAAATATAATCAACTAAAACCTTCAGCCAATGTATGCACACTTCCCACGCATTCACCTCATTTAAGTCAGTCAATGTGTGTGTGCACTTCCCTATTTAAGTTAGCTAATGCTTATACACTTCCTATATGTTCTCCTTATTAATGTATGTACACTTCTTGCATGTCAGTCATAGTAGGTTTACTCCACCACAGTTTCATTACTTCTAAATTGATTAAAAATGGCAGAAATCAGTAATCAATTTAGAAGTATTTATATTAGGGATAGAGTTTGAGGTAATTATAGTAACCTCTCAATAAAACAAATATATATATATATATATATATATATATATGCATATATATATATATATGTATATATATATTGAACAACAATAAAAAATAAAAACAAAAATATTATTTTAAAAATAGTATAAGTTGTTGATCAACACAATTCAGGGCATTTAAGCGAGTCTCTGACAATGCAGAAGTATGCAATTTTGTGGTAGGTTTTCTTTCTTTTTTTAATTACATAGTTTTATAATAAAAATGATTTTGGATTATAACCTGATATGATAATGGTTTAGCAATTTTTCAAAATATGACTGGTCCCCAAATGAAAAAAAAATTAAAAAACATGTTTTTGAAAAGAAGAAATCTTCTTATATCAACACAGTGCAACATGAAAATTGTAAATAAACACTTCCCTATAAATTGCAAGCTCAATAAAATTAAAAGTTAAAAAAATCTTACTGATTCCTTTTTTTTACATATTCTGTCTTCTTGGATTATTGTTCACTACTGACCTCTCATGGAAACCATATATACAATCTATTGCTAAATAAGCATCCTCTTTGGTTGCTTCTCTTTATCGTGCTCATCATTTTCTTATTCCTGATTCCATTCTCTACCTCAAATTCCCTTATTTGTCTCTGTATTAAATACTGTTGTCATACCTGGGATGGTTCTTTTAATGATGCTTAATCTCTTTGAGACAAATTCCAAAAATGCATTCTAAATGTTGTTGGACCCGCTCTACCTGCCAAGTTTAAGCCTCTCTTCTATTGTCATAAAATTGCATCTTTTTTTTTTTTACAAATACTATCCTGGTCACTGCTCAAAAGAGCTATCATCTCTAGTTCCATCAACTAAAACTTATTCTTGCTTGACTTGTTATTCAGCAAATTCTTCTTTGTTTACTGTATCTATCCCTGCATTCTCTAAAAACCTTTCTTCATCTAGTTTTTTTCCCGGCACTTCAACCCTTTGAAACTCTCTGCCATCTTCATGTTTTCCAGACACATACAATCTACAACTTTTCAAATCCTTTGGCAACCATTTCCTTGCTCTTTAACTCTTTTTTTCCTTTGCTGGGAATGGATCAGAATAATAATTTAAAAAAATGCTAATTATGTAAAATCACTTAATATTCTTAAGTATAAAAGTTAGACTGAGCTATTAAAGGAAGTTTGAAAATTGACTTGAGCTATTAAAGGAAGTTTGAAAATTAGACTGAGCTATTAAAGGAAGTTTGAAAATTAAAAGATGCAAATTTAAATCTTGTTGTTAAATTGAAAATAATTAAACAGTGCACTAAACCTTTCCACAAAATCCTGTAAGTTATGCATCAATGAAAAATGTGAAATTCTGTTCTTTAAAAATCCAAATTTGTTAAATAAAAAAAGTGAAATAATATTTAGTTTTTTTTTTTGATTAAAAAAAAAAACATGGCTAATGATTGCAAATAGGCATGAAATTTAAGTTCCATTACAAAGTTTTATTTTTTGTATAATTAAATATTATTATTTTATTATTACTAATACATGATTTTAATAAAATTTAATGGATAATTTTACTTTAGGTACTGAGGACATGTCTGATGACCAATGTAATGAATCAAAAATAAAAAGAGATTTTCTTGAAAAAGAATTAGCAAAAGATAATCAGGTTTGTGAAATGTAGTAAAATTAATTTTGTCAAAAATGTTTAATTTTTTTTTGTTTTGTTTTGTTTTGAATCTTGTTATAGAAAAATAAAGAAAAGATGATGTCAGAAGATGTAATTCCGGATTTCCTTTTTCAAATATGTGTTGTAAATATGGCTGGCAGCCAAAATATTATGCAACTGAATTACAATGATGATAATCCTGTGAACTTAAATTGTAAGTGATTTTGTTAGCAAATTGTAAATTTAAAAAGTTTTTGGTTTAACATTCAAATCAATTGTTTTTTTAAAAGCTCATTCTTACCTTGCAATTGATTGCTCTCCTCAGTTTAAGAAGTATTATTCAGAAAAGTTAGCACAGGTAAATAAAATTTGCATTTTTGTTTCAACTTAGAAAAAAAAAATTAGAAATTGGATTTTTTAAAAACTTTATAAGAACTTTATGTTGCAATTACTAATTATTTGTTTTTTTAATCAGTTTACTAATTTTTATGTTTTTATGTTTAGGAAACTGAGGAGCATGATTCTTGGAATGCAGTGTGTCCTCCTAAAAAAACCGTGAACTTAAATGACTGTCTAGATTTATTCTTACAAGAAGAAAAACTAGGTGAAGATGACCCATGGTAAAAGCGTTTATGCTGACTTGAGAATATATTGTTTTTTAATCATTCATAATTGTATTTTTTTTAACTTTTTTTTTTATTACTTTTTAAAATTCGTTATGCAACAAGATGTTTTTTGCCTAATTGATGCACTAAGTGATAATTAATATTATAAAATTGAATAAAATATTTATATTTACTCATAAACTGACCCTAAGTTACTATAGTTGCAATGTTTAATCATAAATTAACTCTTAGTTACTATAATTGCAATTTTAACTCATGAATTCACTTTTTTTAAGTTACAAGTTTTAAGCATAAATTGCTCCTATAGCTGCAATGTTTAATCATAAACTGACTCCAAGTTACTATAGTTACAATTTTTAACTATAAAGTGACTCTTAATATTGTCATCAAAAACCTTAACGATCGATTCTATTGTAGATTCGCATTATATTTAAATGTGTCAAATTACCTAAGTAGGAAAAGCAGCTCCTCTTAATCTATCCAAAATTAGAATAAGGGATTTTATATTAATTCCTATTGAATTGTGGGTAAGGTTAGGAGGAGTTTGTAAACGTTGAATAGTAATCTTTCTTATGGTTGTATCACTTAAAGAATAATGTTTTTAAAGTCATAATATGTTAATAATAGTATCATAAAAATATCAAATTTTTTATTTTAAAGTTTTTTAACAAAAATTTTAGTTGTAAAATAATTTTTAAACTATCTATGTCATATTTTTGAAATATTTATTTCATAAAAAGGCTATTTGTTCATTCCACATGTGACTGTAGAAACCATTAAAAAGCTATGTATCTATTCCACATGTGAGTGTAGCATTTGTTAAAAAGCATTCATTCTATTGTTGTAGTAACAGTAATTTACCATTCAATATTTTTTTCCAAAATGACTTTTTATCTTAAACATTTTTATTTTTAAATTAGTTTTTTTTTTTTTTTTTTTTTTTAATGTTTGTTATTTATTTTTTGAATAATTACATATTTAGACTTTTGATTAATTACTTATTTAGGTACTGTCCACAATGTAAAGAGCATCGCCAAGCTTTTAAAAAATTTGATTTATGGACTTTGCCAAAAGTACTTGTTATTCATCTCAAAAGATTCTCTTACAATAGGTAGTTGCAACCTGTGTTATGGCACAAAGTTTTTATATTTGTATTTTTTTGCAAATCTGTGTTTTTCTTCACTAACTTTTAAATGTTCGAGTTTATATCATATTTTGATTTATTTGTTTTAAAATTTTAATGCCAAATGTTGTAAATTTTTACTTTATAAGTGGAAAAAAGCTCATATGACAAATATATATATATATATATATATATATATATATATATATATATATATATATATATATATATATATATATATATATATATATATATATATACAGTGGTGGAAAAAATAATAAATACTCTATCTAAAATTTTATAAAACCTGTTTTATTCACAGTAACTGATATTATCTAATACTAATTTTTATTTTTTTATAAACCTTATTGTTAGAAATTATGTTTTTTTTTAAATTATGAATTTTATTTCAATTTTTCTCATGTTACTAACAATTTAGTATAAAATAGCCGGAAATTTACTGGAAAAAATAATAAATACAGTAATGATTAATCTTTTTGTTTTTTTTTAGTTTTCAACTGTTATTACTATTCAAACATGTGTTTGACTCCGGTTATTATTAATACCTCATAGGAAAAGGATTTAGAGGGGGTAATAGCCTCTTCCCCCATAATTATTTAGGAGGAGGGTCACTTCCTTTACCCTTATCCTTCACATCTCCAACCCTGGCTGTTTTAGTCACTTTCCCTCAAACTGATATGACCTTTCTACGCTACTGAATAATATTTTGCTTTATATTTTGATAAATTATTGAACATAAACTATGTTCAACAATTTTTTTATGTTAATAATTTAATTTTTTATGTATGTTCAGTTATTTATTTACAGTTTACTAATGTATTAAATTAATATCATTTCAGCTAATTAATTACAATTAGAGTAAAAAACATTGCTGAAGTTAAGAGGTATTGCCTCTTTATTTTAATGTGTAAGTATTTTCAATATTTAAAAATATGATATGGTGATATTATTATGTATATTAGTAAATTAATTCATACAACAGTTTTAACTTAGGATATTATGGGTAGAAAGTCACATTGCACCTCAGCTGAGCTCTTAGTAATTCAACGGCTTAAAAGCAGTGGAAAGACTTATAGAGAGATTTCAAGAATAACTAATCGTTCTGTTGGAATGGCTCAAAACACTCTTAAACCAAAAATATATGTAGAAACTAGAGGTCGCAAAAGAAAAACAAATTACAGAGAATATAAATTAAATATTTGTGAAGCTAAATTAGATTCATTTGTCTCCAGCAACACTATTAAAAAAACTTAAATGTAACAGCACAAACAATTAGAGGACGTTTAGTTGAAGCTAACTTGTTTTCAAGATCACCTAGAAGTGTGCCTTTATTGAAAAAATGACATATAAAAGCAAGAAAAGAGTTTTGTCATAAATATTCTGTATGGACAAATAAGAAATGGGGCACAGTTTTGTGGAAAGATGAATCTAAGTTTAATATCTTTGGATCAGATGGTAAGCAGTTTGTCCACAGACCACCAAATAAAGAGTTTGACCCCAATTACACTAAAAAAACAGTTAAATTTGGTGGTGGAAGCATTACGGTGTGGGGATGTTTCTTGTCATCTAGTATTGTTCCTATCTACTTAATAACAGACACTATGACAGCTGATATTTATACCAACATAGTTGAAAAAATAATGCTTTCTTACGTTGAGGATAACATGCCGCTGCTCTGGATATTTCAACAAGATAGCAATCCAAAACATACAGCCTCTATCACAAAGAGATGGTTCCAAAACAATGTTGTAAGACAACTGGAATGGCCAGCACAATCGCCAGATTTAAATCCCATAGAAAATTTATGGAAAATTGTAAATAATGAGGTTGCAAAACAAAAGGCTCGGAACAAAAGGGATCTGTGGGAGACTGTAAAAACATCATGGTACGGTATTCCACTATCAACATGCCATAAATTGGTCAACAGCATGCCCAAAAGACTAATCGAAGTTAAAAAAAATAAAGGACATGCAACAAAATATTAGGCAATTTTTGTAAATATTGAAGTGATTGATAAGCTTTTGTTAGAAAAAAAGTTTGTTTTTGTTTATAATTGTTTTTAATTATTTTTGTTAAATATTTGTTTTATAAACATTGAATTTTCTTGATTTTTTCTAATATACGATCAAATAAACCATTTCTGTATTTATTAATTTTTCCCGGCTACTTTATACAAAATTTTTAGTAACATGAGAAAATTTGAAAAAAAAAAATATAATTTTAAAAAATATATAATTTCTAACAATAAGGTTTATAAAAAAATATAAGTTAGTATCAGATATTATCCATTGCTGTGAATAAAACAGGTTTTTATAAAATTTTAGATAGTGTATTTATTATTTTTTCCACCACTATATATATATATATATATATATATATATATATATATATATATATATATATATATATATATATATATATATATATATATATACATATATACATATATACATAAATACATATATACATATACATATATACATATATACATATATACATATATACATATATACATATATACATATATACATATATACATATATACATATATACATATATACATATATACATATATACATATATACATATATATATATATATATATATATATATATATATATATATATATATATATATATATATATATATATATATATATATATATATATATATATATACAGTGGTTTTCATAAATTTAGACGCACTCATATTTGAGAATAATAATTTTTAGTTTTTCAACGATAAAACAATGACGAAAAAAGATTTTAGTTTTGTTTTTTTTCTATTTATTAGATAAATACATACAGAATACAAAATTTAAAAAAAGTTTGCAAAAAAAATGAAATACTAAGTAATAATTAGGTACAACTACATGGCATTAAAAAATTAGACAAAAAAAATTATTCATAAATTTAGACGCACGATACATTAGAAGGCGTAATTTATGAACCAATCAATATTTTGTGTATCCGCCTTTTGCTTTAATACAACTAAGAACTCTTCTAGGCATAGACTCAACAAAATTTTTGCACATCGCTTCTGGGACCCCATACCAGTTCTCCTTAAGTAATTCCTTCAGCTAAGTAAGTGTGGAAATTTGAACCTTTACTAATTCACGGTCAATCCAAGCCCAAATGTTTTCAATCGGGTTTAAATCAGGTGAGTATGGAGGCCACGGTATTGTCATGATACTATTATCGTTGAACCACTCCTTTGCATAGTATGCAGTATGTGCAGTAGCGCCATCTTGTTGAAGTTTCCATAGTTTATCATTGAGCATAAGCAGGTCAATTGATGGAATTAAGTTATTTTCCAGTACTTCTACGTATATTCTGGAGTTGATTCTTCCGGTGTATGTTTGGCATATACCAACACCTTTGTAATTGAAGCATGACCAGATTCCTATTGAGCCTCCTCCACTTTGTACAGTTGGTCTAATGTACCTGGCATAATACTTTTCATGAGCCATTCTTTTGACTGTTATGTTAGATTTGCGATTGATAAGCTCAAAGTTACTCTCATCACTCCACATAATGTTTTCCTATTGTTCTATTGTCTAATATCTTCTTTCACGACACCATTTTAGTCTCCTTTGTTTATCATATGGATGCAGAAGCGGTTTCTTCAAAGCAGTGTAGACTCCAATCTTGTTTTTGATAAGTATTCGGCGGACTGTGCTTTGAGAAATAGATGTATTTCGCGTTGTATTGAATTCTGTGGTTGAATCTCTGTAACTAATTCTTGGATTAGCTCTGACAGCTCTAAAATGAACACTATCGTCCTTTCTGGCGGTTGATAAGGGTCTACCTTTCCTCGTTTTTTCGCTGGCACCACCAGTGTGAAGAAAGTTTTGTTTCGTTGTCCGAACGCATTTCTCAGAAACTCCAATTAACTTGGCGATTTTTTTATTACTTTTGGTTCCTTCTTTGATGTGCGCATTAATTTGCCATCTTTCACCTTGAGTGATACGTCTTTTGCCCATTTTTAGCGTCTTTTTAGTGCGAAACTAACTTAACTTTTGTTTATTTATTAAATAATGATTAACTAATTCCAGCTAAGTCATATTTATATAAGGTTTTTTGACAGAATCAATTACTTTAGGCCTATTAATGAGAAATATGGGGAAAAAACTACTAATTAACTATCAATTAACAAGATATAAGACTTTTTTGATTGTGCGTCTAAATTTATGAACAAAATAAAATCAAGCTTATCAATTAACTTTTTTGTGTTAATCGGTATAGAATGAGTAATAAACATCCTGTAAAAAAAATTAAGGTACTTATTAATAGAGTTTCACTTCCTCTTGTAAATTATATATCAAACATAGCGGTAGTGCTTTTATTTTATTTTTATTTTGAGTATTTTCTTACATATATATATAAAAAAAGTGAATGCGTCTAAATTTATGAAAGCTACTGTATATATATATATATATATATATATATATATATATATATATATATATATACATTTTGCAATTGCTTCCGAAATGGCGGATGTTTTTTAATAATGAAATTTTTTATAGAAGAAAAAAGAAGGTTTTTATGAGAAAAAACTAAAAGGAAAATTTTTATAGACAAGTTTAAGAAAATTAAAGAAAGTAATGGAAAGAAAAATATTTATAAAAATGCAAATAACATTAAAAAATTGGAAACCAAAACCAAAAATATCCAATTTTTCTTGTCAACCATGAGATTATGTAGACTGAAAAATATACAATTTTTATTGACAGGCATGAGGTTATCTTGACTGACAACTAATTTTTGGCCTGTTTGTTAACACAACAATAAACTTAGAACATCGATATATAAAACAAAATGATTTTATATAATATTTTTGTATCACACCTTTAATATGTCGGTCACTTTTTGTGCAACTTCAACTTTTGTGTGTGTGTGCATGTGTGCTTGCAAACCAAAAAAAATTGTATGTGCTGTTGACCAAATGTTGTTTAACAGATTCTGCATCAGAATGTTAAAATAAAAGAATTTCCATTCTGCTGTACCATAAAAAGATTTCAGTTTTATACTATTTTAATTTACAACGTTATATGTTTTATTTATAAAATTTATGATATTTTTAGCCTAATTATTCCAACTTTCTATAATTCTAAAGTTTCCTTTTTTATTTTATATTCATTGCTTATTTTTTATTAAGTAAATAAAAAGTTTTATTGTTGCAAGACAGTATTAAAGTTATGCAAACGATGTACAAAACAAAATTTTAATGTTTTTTTAAAGAATTATAAATTAAATGTTTAATATTTTTGTTAATATTTTATATAAGTTTGTTGCTACAGGTTGCATTTTTTAATGGTAGACAAGCCTTCTTTTTTTTTAATGCCATTTTACTTAATGATTTTATAGTTCTTATATCTAATTTTTATATTTTACAACTAATATGATTTTTTTTTTAGTTTTTGTTTTGCGAAAAAGTTAGTTAAAAATGTGCATCATAAACTATTTTACCTTTTTTTTTGTTTTACCTTTGTCAAATTGTTACTAAAACACAAACACACACACGCACACCTCTTTTACTAATGCACATACATTTATTTTACTAAAATACAAACATACACATACATCTCTTTTACTAACGCACATAGGCACACCTATTTTACTAAGACACTAACACACACACCTCTTTTACTAATGCACATGCACACACCTATTTTACTTAAACATAAATACTTACCTTTTTTAGTAGATAGCTTAATATGAATATGTTTAAAAAGTTAATATAATAGATAGCCTAATATGAATATGTTTAAAAAGTTAAATACCTCAAGTTAAAATACGCTGTAATGGTATTCGTTTGTAACTATGTAACAAATAGCAAATAATACATTTAAGTTTGAATATTTAATTGTTGGGATTGATTCATAATTGATGGATAATAATTACAATTACCGCTTTTAATTGTATTTTATCAATATTTTGTTTAGATATTGGAGAGATAAAATAGACGCTTTAGTTGATTTTCCTATCAAGTAAGTAAATATGTTATTATCAAACTAAGGGCTCACATAGCTTTGTTTAAACATCACCTCAAAATAAGTGGTTTAAATTAATAGAAATATAATTTGTTTGCAAAAAAAATTTTATAAAATATTTTAAAATCTTTTTTTGATAGACTTTAAAATATAATTATGAATTCGAAAATGTGGTTTCAGATTTATTCTCATTTACATTGTAAAAATTCAGCGGCAGCGCTAGGCAAGTTGTGGACGTCAGCAAAATTAGCTTTGCAAGGCCTTTTTATTAAAAAAAAAAAAAAAAAAAAACTAATAAAAACAAATTTTGATTTGGGCGAATCTCCAGGTTTGAAATTGTGAGATTGATTGTTATGTAAAGATTTAGATATTTTTCTTGAAAATTTTCTAAAATGTACTGTATAAGTTGCTTTGCATCATTTATATTTTCTAGTAAAGTGGATTTTAAAATTTGCAGTTTTTCATGAAATTCGAAAGGATCTCTGTTGCTGTTTTCATCTCCCAAAGTATTGTACCTAAATTATTACAATGCTTGAGCAGGTCCTCTCTTGGTAAATATTTCAAATAATTGATATAATAGATAAAACCAAAACTGTCAAAATATTTATTAAGCGCTTTGAATTGACAATCAGTGTCGACTATGACTACATCTATCATTGTGTTGAAAAAATTTACTTTGTACTGTGTTTCAACAGATTGTATAGGTTCATTCATGTGTTCATAAACGAACATTTTTTTTTTTTTTCGTGCTATTTTTTTTTCTTTAAAATGTGACTCAATTTCGTGAGCGCTTTTTTCTACAATCGAACATCTGCGACACTTTTCTCTAATCCAGTATCATGGAATTCTTAAATCCAAGTACCAACCAACACAATGTTTCTCTATAGCTCTTTTTGAGAAATTGCAAAATTCTAATACTATTGACATTTGTTCCATACGATTTGCATCTCTGGTGCAATCGAGCAAAAAGGCATATTATTTTGCTTGTTTAACTCTGTATATAATTTCATCAATAACTGTTTCAGACATCAATGTAATTAATTCATTTTAAATGTCGTGGCTCAGATAATTTTGAGCAATTTGCTTTTTATTAATTTATTGCAAGTGCTCCTTTACTGTCAGATCATATTTGGATAACAACTTAATTAAGTCTATAGAGTTACCACTGTTTCTGCATTTTTTTTCCAGGTTAAGTGATTCGCGATGACCTCTTAATACCACATTGTGAGGCTAAAAAGTTTATTATATCAATAAATCCTTCAACCAAATTATACCAATATTTTTGAGATCCTTTGTATTCCTCATCTATTGTTTTTCCGTTTGTTCTTTTATAGATTTCCATCCATTTAATCATGCACTCTATGTGTCCTTGATTTTTTTCATGTCTATGCAATATCTGACTAAGATCTTTCCAGTCACAACATCCTTTTTTCACCATCTGAGTCTGTGTGTGTGATGTCTTCAAGGAAAGCAATAATCTTTTAACTCGGAGTAAACCATCTGCGGTGCTGAATTTCACCGTTAATCAGTTTTTGCGTAAAATGAAATTTAGAAAAATGTCTGTTATTTGCGTCTTCGGGTAACTTTCATCAGATTTTTCTATATTTTGAAGGGGACTGTTTTGAATTAAGTCATAACGCTGAGAGTCGGTTATGGGAAATGTCCATTTTCTGACATCTAAGTTTATAAATGAATCGTTTGCTGTTTATTAACTGAGTCACAAATTTTATCAGTTGCCAAATCTTCATTGCGTTCAAACTCTTGGGTCACAGAGATGATACATTCGACTCTGAACCTGGTTCTGTTTCAGAAACCAAAGAAACTTAGCCAAGAGATTCATCAGAGGATTCTGGAACAGTAACAGTTGAGAGGGATTTCTTAATAAATTTCATCATACTGGAGCTCATAGATTGGTTTGTTCTCAGTTTTTCTTTTTCTTTTCGATGCACCAGATTCCCATGTTCTTCCTATATCTCTGTCTCTCGTTGGTTTTCCAGACATGATTTTGGACTTATGTTTGGACTAATTAAAAAAATTATAGTTAGGTACTTGCATGAATTTTAAGTTTTTATTTTAATTATTTTTTTATGTTATTAACTTTAGGTCAAGATAGTCATAAAAGAAAAAGAACATTTTTAATTAACTTTTTAAATTTATGTGTAATTATAATTAAATAAAGAGTTAAATTTTATTTATTACAATTTGTAATATTCACTTACTTGGTTATTGTTTTTATAACAGATTGTAGATATAACCAACAGCTGCACTAAATGCTTAAATAATTGCACTATATTTAATATTTAAATTATAACTTAATAAACTATATTAGTTAGGTTATAATAAAAAAACTTGAATTTGAATTCGAATTCAATTTCATTTCTCAGATTTTCTAATTGTTTTACTAATAATTTGACGCGTGTCACGTGCTGTAATCGAATCAAAACGGAATAGGATGAGACAATCGAATTTTTCATAGATCTAGAATCGAATATTAACATTCCTTGTTAATTATTTAAATTAATTTTTTAACTATATAGTTATATGTTACGCCTCAAAGCCGGTAAACAATAAAAAATATCTAAAAATGCTTTTATGTTATCAGAAACAGTTAAAATAAGATTTATACTTAAAAATGAAATTAATTTAAAGTTAAAGTAATATAATACCGATGATAAAACCGACAAATAAACATATCTTCGTCAAGCAAAGCAAAATAAGATATGTAAATTATATGTAAAAAAATATGTAAAAACGTTGCCTTTAAAACTCCCGGATATTTTAATAGAAAAAACCCAATTGCAACGGACATACTATGTTAAATTCTTAGGCGTTTTAATCGATGAGCAAATAAATTGGAAAGAGTATATTAATCTAATAGAAAATAAAATTTCAAAAACTATTGGAATCATGTATAAAACTAGATATATGTTGGATAAAAACTGTTTAAAATCTATTTACTTTTCATTTATTCATAGCTATATTAGTTATTGTAACATTGCTTGGGCAAGCACTTATCCCTCAAGACTAACTTGTATCTTAAAAAAGCAAAAACAAGCAAGCTGCCTTATATTAAATGCTAATAAATACACCAGTGCCAATCCACTGCTTCGTAAGCTTGGAGTTCTGAATGTTTACCAATTAAATATTTATAATATTCTTTTATTCATGTTTAGATTAAAATATCATATGCTACCTAATATTTTTGAAGATCTTTTCTTTATTATAGATCATAAATATCAAACAAAGCATTCATTGCTTAATTATCAGGTACCAAAAACTTTGTTAAAACAATCTGAATTCTCAATAACATACCGAGGGCCACATTTGTGGAACTCATTTCTCCCAAATAATAGTAAAACTACAACTTCAATCCAAACTTTTAAAAGTATCTTAAAAAAACAGTTACTTGATTATGACGTATCTCAAATACTATTTTATTTTTAATTTTTATTTTGTTCTCTCTTAATTTTTATTTCTTTAACTTTTCTTTTTGTTAAAAAGTGGCATCACACTTTATATCATTACTTATCTTTATATTTGTATTGTATATATATATGTATTTCTGTGTATGTGTGTATATATATATATATATGTATTTTCTTAAATGATGGATAATTTTTTCTTTGTTTGATATGTAAATGATATAACGGGGCTGGATGATAAGACTTTTGTCTTCTACCTGCTCCTGTCATATCTTAACTCAAAATGAATATATTGTAAATAATTTAATATAACGATGACGAAAATGTAAAAAAAAAAAAAATTCATCAATTATAATTAAGATACAATATTAATTTTTTTTAGTATATTTTTGCGAGGCCGTCGCCAATCGCCGACGTCGCCGCCGCCTTACGCTGCCGCTGTAAAAATTTAATAATTCAATTTTTTAATTTTTTTTATTTATTTTTTGTACCCAGTAATAATTGTTCAGAGTTTTCGGGAATATCTATAGAGTTTTTATTTTTGTTGTTTTTAAATTTGTTGAAGGTTGGTGTTGGCAATCTTTATCACCTTTTAAAGATTATTTTGCAATACTTAACGTTTCAACAATTTAAACAAATTTAAAATTAATTACAAAACAATTTATTTAAAAAAAAAAATCGTCAGAAAATTTTGAAAAACTTTCAAGATATTTAAAAGTACTTTTTATTTAACAAAAAAATAAAATTTAGATTATTTTAATACTATTTAGAATTGCAAAAAGTTATTTGTGCCACTGTTTTATTGGAAAAAGTGACACTTTCAATGAATCTCCGTGCTACTCTATTTTATTATCTGAATTTTAGGTTTTTCAATATTTTAAAATATTTAACGTTATTTTTTTTTTTGATTTTGATTACTTTTTAAACTATTATGAAGAAGATTATGAAGCTTGAATACGGCGAATTTTGAATTCAGGTTTTGTAGGTTTACAAGATCTCTTGAATTAATTTTAAAATATTTTTACATTATTTTTATTTTTAGTCAGTTAGACCTAACTAATTATGTAATAAATAAAAATCATCCACGTGCTGTATATGATCTTCATGCAGTTTCTGTAAGTTGTGTTTTTTGTTGTTGTTGTTATTTTGATATTGGGTTTTTTCCTTAATTTACAAGTTTTTTTTAAGAAGTTGTAGTTAATAGTATTTTAAAATTTTTGCATTAACATTATATTCAATATTATATAATTGTGCATCTTCGTATATCCTTTAATTTTGCATCACAAACTCGAATTGAGAGTAGAGAAAACTTAAAAAAAATTGTTATAAACAAACAAAAAGTTTAGAGGTGAGATGGAGTAATAAAGATGGTTTCTGCTAGTCAAACATTTTCATATTAAAATATCATATATCGTCAGATTGCATTTAATTTATATACAAATTGGTTAAACATCTATGGTTTTTTAGCATTTATAATATTTAATGTAATTAATGCATTTTTTTAAGAATCATTTTGGTGGTCTCGGCGGTGGACATTGTAAGTGAATTATTTATTAGAATATATTAAATTGAATAACTTAAGTTTTAAATATTCAACTCACGCTTCCTATGCAACTTAATGCTATTAAAAACTCAAGTTTTTATATATAGATACGGCTTACGGTGTTAACTGCTATGATGGTCAATGGTATTATTTTGACGATGCATCCGTAACTTCGGCTAACACGGAATCAGTCGTTGTAAGTAATTTTTATTTTTGAATTTATTTATTGATGAATGAATTTATTTCAATATAGGTGAAAAATAGTTTAAATTTTTTTTTTTTTTTTTTAAATTTAGTCGAAAGCTGCTTACGTACTTTTTTATACAAGGCGCGATGATCCCGAGAAAATGAATTCTAGCGAACTTTTAACTGAAGATATTAGTGATTAAAGAATGTGATCCGTCTAAAACAAAAATTTTGCATCAGCAATCTCGCAGCATTATCTAAATTTTTATTAATTAAAATTTATCGATTTTTTAAACACAATCTGAAAGCAAAATCAATCAGAATGTGAAACCGATTTTCATAATAATACGTTTAACAAGTTCAACATATCTAATTTAAAATAATTTGAATTTTACTGAGTCATATCACCATAATTAATTTGAACACTTTTTTTTAATATAAATAGTCTTGCCAAAATATCTGTCGCTTTATATAAATTGATCAGCATTACAACGTATTTGTGGATTGTTTGCTGTTTTGGCGTAAATTATTTTTATTAAATAATTTCATAAGTTTTAGTCATTTATCAAAAGTCTGCGTCAGTACAAACTTGTCGCATAAACTTGCCCGATCTGCATCAAATACTTGCGTAAAGGTGAAGTTGAGTAAGCTAAAATCGTTGTAAGGAAAGAAATTGATCATTTATGTTAATTTTATAATTTCAACTTTCTTTTAAAGTTTAGTTTAAATGGATGTCTTAAAATGGTATTTTAAATGACGGACATGAATGTACTAAAATCATTTGCAAGTAATAAAGTTTGCATTTATGCAGGGCATCGTTTATGCGAGTTTATTCCTCTACTCCAGTGATTGTAATATTTTATAATGCGCTTGTAAAACGACGTATTTATTGATCGTGTAAACGTCCTAGTTGTTTGACAAACTGGAGGCCGCTTTAATACAATTTATATACGGAGAAGTTGTGTAATTGAAGAGTTAAAATGACAAACATCAATGGGAGGAAGGGAATTTTTATACTTTATATTAAGTTAGTATAAATGTTGCTTTGTACAAGTGCCATTTTTAATTTGTAAATAAGTAAGAAGTTGTATATTAAAGAGATGAAATAAAATAAACTTCTGGCTTATTTTGATAGAATTTTTTATATTTATTTTAATATAAGTAATTAGAGTAAATAAAATTGTAAAAGAAATGTAAAAATGTTATGCGAGTTGATATAGCAACTTTGATTTAAAAAAAAATGCATCGTTATCTGATAAAGAAATACGTTTTCTACGGATTTCTTTAATACCATGCGATAATATTTCTAAATAGTAGTAATGTTGCTGTATATGACAGTCATTTTCAGCTAATCATCGAACAAAAATTAAGCATGGTAAAAGGAGACCACGCGATCAACCTTATTACTTTAGTCAGAAGTGCTATTCGTGGCTGGATAGCTCAGTTTGTTAGAGTGTCTAATGAATTGCGAAAAACCGGACTGATATGCTTTATAAGTTTTTTGTAAATGGGATTTGATACTTATTGACAATGTATTTGTTGATAAAGTTGTTTGAGCTTCCAGTATTTGTTAATGCAAAACAATTTTGCCATTTACTTCCACCTTCCGAACTGCATGTGATTGCATATGAGAGGCAATTTGGGACCCCAGCATTTACTCGGCTAATGATCTATTCAACTAAGATACTTTAGCAAAATATCCACGTTTTTGACATTTGTGGCCAACGAAATCTTAACCAGGACAAACATCACGCGGGTAGTGATTGGTTCCACAGAAGTAACGCATTTTTGCGTTCGGTAGTGAGGTTTGTTAATTATTGTAATATTTTCTTGTATTACGCATTGTATTGATTTGGGGTATGTTAGACTAATACTACTCGCAAATTCTAAGGAGTGTGCTTCTTTGAATGCCAATGTTCTTGTTTTCTAGTAGTCTCTTGCGTATCATACTTAAGGTATAAGACCCCTCAAAATTCCTAAAAAATAAAATAAAAAAAATTTGTGTATTTCTTACACGAAATTTATCGCTGAATCCGAATTTTAAAACATTTTTTAAAAGGATAAATCTTCTGCGGCTGAATATTCAGCCTCTCTAAACGTTAATAAATTGCTTCTGCGGCTGAAAAGTAACGCATGCGCTAATGTTCTGTTTATATTTTAAATGTTGTATTTCTCCCGACGCGAGTGCACGTGTGTTTGAAAAACAAACTAAATTAATGGCTGATCTTGTTGTTGGAAAACTATTTGAGAGTTGCAGCGAAGTTGAACTGTTTGTTAATGATTTTTGCAGGAAAAATTACCATCCTGTTAGTCAAAAACATAATGTGACAGTTGCTGCATACAATAAGAAAGTAAACTATTATGTAATCAAAGTATTTATCACTTATGTATACTGTATCCATTTTTTAGATTATTGTTTTTCTTGAATTTCTTATTCACCAATTGACTTATGATGTTTACTTATGAATTTTACAAATTAACATTATTATGCAGCTTATGTATTCTTTCTTTTTTATAACTCAATACCTCATTCACTTATGTTCGACTATTTTTTGTATTCACTTATGGTATTCACTTATGGTCGACTATTTTTAAATTATTATGCATCAAATGCTTAGCTAATATAATGGAAGAGTTTATGTGAACTGATTACTGAATTAAACTATAAATATTTAATAATTAAAATTGGTTTCTTTTTTTTTTTTGTACATTCTTGTATTTATTTTTATTACATCTTGTTACATATTACACAAAAATCATACTTTTTACATGGACAGTTTATGTCCTTGCTGTTAATTTTGTTTTTGTCATTTAGTTATTAAATTCTTAAATTGTATCATTTTTTATTTTAATTCTACTTTTTTATTTAAATTGTTACTAATACTATTATTATAGGAGTTATTGTTTTAATCTGCTAAATCTTTTATTAAATATATTATTATAGCTCTAACATTACCAATATTGATTGTTATTATAATGATTTTTACTAAATATTTTGTCCTAATTATTATTTTTCATAAAAACTTTTAATAATTTTAATTATTAATATCTTTATTATTACTGCTATTATTATTATCATTATTGTTATAAACTATATGGTCAATTATATTTGTTTTAACGATCAATTAAATGCTCATTTAGGATAAATGCAATATTTTTGTAAACAGCTTTTTACAAAAAAATACTCATCAAAAATATTATTTAGAAATTTTTTCTAAATATGCATTTCATAGTAAACAGTTTTTACACAGTTTTATTTTGTAATTGTTTAACATTACATTTGTTTGTTTTACTCAAACATTTATACAAAAATTGTATAATATAATTGTGTAACAAAAATTAAAATAGTTTTTTGCAAAATTACTAATCGATCAAGTTGAAAAAAAATTTAAATTGTCTATGAGGTTGCTTTAGAAACCAGTATTTCAAAGAATGGTTAACAAGAAATGTGATTATTTGAATAATCTTATTTTATAAAATTTAGATAACATGTAGTTCTTTCCTGATTAAAGTTGTCTTGAAAACAGAAAAATAAGCGATAACAGAATTAGCTAAAAAGCTTTTTTTAAAAAAGAATGAAAATCATAGTCCCAGTGTTAACTTTTTGTAATTATATCTTTTAAAATGGTTTTTACTTTTAACCTGTATTTTTATATTATATTTTACTTTTTTTTTTAAATTATTAATATAATAATTTTTAACTGAGGATAAAAATTTGATAAGTTTGTTTTTGTTCCAATTAAAATTTAATACATCTATTTACATATATATATTTTAATTTTTTTTTAAGCATCCAGACAAATGATGTATTTGCATAGCCTCTTGTTTTGTAAAATTAATAAATAGCACCAGTTGTGACAAATTACATTTCTTTGATTTGTAAAAATCGGTTATATGCACACAGTGTTTGTTTGTGTGTTTTTGTTTACTATCTTTCTTCAATGTTAGTTTTTATAATGTAAAAAAATATATTTAATACACATTGTATATTTAAACTTCTTACTTCTAAAAATAAATTTTACTTTTTGTTGACGTTACTTTGTTTTTCATCTTTAAAGCTACTGTTAGTTCTTGGGGCGGATGCTATTTTATATAATTAACCATGGTTTATACGAAATTTTTACGTATAAGATTACATTTAAATCTCTAAATATTGCTTATTTTTAAAATATTGTATTAAAAAGTGATGTCGATTTGAAAAAACATGAATAGTATTAAAAAATAAATAAATAAAATGGGAAAAAAACTTTCATAAACTTTTTACATACTTTTATAATGTATAATAACTTTTCATATATTTTCATTGTTGTAAAAAGTTCTATTTATAGATTTTTTTTTCGCTACCACAATTTTTAATTATAAATAAAACTTTAAAAGTGCTTGCTTTTTTCATAAAAAACTACAATTAGAATTATACTTTATTTAAAGTTGATTTACAACCAAATTAATACCATCCAGCTAATTTTTCCTTTTTTTACACAAGAATGTCAACAAATAAAATATAATAAAAGCGGGATGATAGTCAGAAACTACTGATAAGCCATCATGTTACATGATTTTTCTCTCATCAAGCAACTCTAACAGTTGTTTCTTTTCCATACCTAGATTAACTTGGTTGCAATCTTTAAATTAGTGCAATTTGATCCTTACCAATAGCACCCAAGAAAAGGAACTTTAAAATATATAAAAAATGTGAAACGAAGCAGGGAAACAATGAATAGAAAAATATTTTATTGGGTAATATTTAGTTAAAATAATTTTTCAGCTCTTAATGTGCATTATCTTAGTGACACACTAAAACATTTTGCACAGATTCATAAATGATTAGCGCAGAAGTTATTACCGCTCGCTACAGTATTAAATACATTCGTAAAACGAGAATAGTGTTAAGTACATATAAAAGTGGAATATACAAGAACATGTTTCCAATGTTAAAATTACTTAAAGTATTAGCAATAAAAAAGTACGTAAAAACGTTTTTTCATCGGTATGCTGCTTCGAGGTAATATGAATGACCTCGGAGAAGTATAACAAAACAAATGAAGCTCATTACTTCTAGTGGCATACGATAAGATTAGGCCGGATATCTTTTGAGTAGAAGGCAAGCGCTTTACTATCCTATTTTGCGGTCTTCGAGCAAATAGGTTGTAACTTAACTGACATTTCTGCGCAACTGAAAAAGTAAGGGTTGAAAGCCGAGTTGTCTTGTATAAATTAATGCGAATCAAAAAAATTTTGATAATTGCAAAAAATTTTTGCAAGACAACGTTCACTAAATGTCAATTATAACCTTTTTTCACTGAACCAACGTTATGATGGTTATTTTAATAATGGATAAAACTTTATGCTCATATTCGAAAAAATTGTCAAAATGCATTTTTTGCTAAAATAGCTATGATAATAATAATAACTTTTTATCTAAAATTTATAAATATTTTTATTAACTTTGAACTAGGGCCCTGCAAATCGTCAGTTTTTCTTTCGAATCGAATCTCGAATCAAAGTAGGTCTTGATTCGAGATTCGAATCACGTTTCGAATCAACATTTTGAATTCTAAATTTAAGCATTTCTTTTAATAATGTATATATTTAAAAATAAAATAAAACAATTGTATAATCTTTTTATTGATGCTTCTGCCCTCGTTAATTTATTAGTGACTGACTAAAAAGGTATTTAAGGATAAATAACGTTATTTTGATTGCCCCAAAGCACAGAATATCTGAAATACCCACAACTAAAACAAAATAAGTAAAGATTCAATTTTTGAAAATTTTCGAATCGTATCTCGAATCATATTTTTGATTTGATTCGATTCGAAATTTCGAAGCTTCGCAACACCCTACTTTGAACATAAAAACTAAAAGGTGATAATGTTTTAAACATCCATTCAAAAAGAATCAGATTTTTTTTCTTCCTATTTTTGCTAGACTAAATTTTTTTTATTTGTAAAAAAATACATGTCACTTCAATGTTTTACAACAAACTTTTATAGTAAATTACATTTTTTAAGTTGATTATTTTCTTTTTTTTTTGAATTGACACACAAAGCATTTTACAACTTTTGTACAATTCTTTATTTTCACCCATTGTTCTTATTGGGAGTTAGAGTACAAGGCATCTTGCCAAACAGAGATTTCTTGATTCCAGCATCTCTGCAAGGCAAACAGTACAAAGCACTGCACTCGTTATTCTCGTGTTACTGTAAACCATACTAGTGGCCACCATTATTAGGTAAAGCCAAATACGGTCAAACACCCATGGCACCCACTATTGCTGCATCGTTGGAGACCAAGACTTTTCATTTGTATGCCAAAGTAGTTTTAGCATATTTATTACATTATAGCACAAGTTAAGCTAGGGTTACTTTATAATATATTTAGTTATTTAGAATAAGTTTTTTTTGATTATTTCTAATTTACTTTGGGCCCAAAACAAGGCCCAATTTTTTTATGAAGTATAACAGTATGGTATTTAATAAAATGTCTCCAAGTTTCATTATCATTTTTTTGCAGGTTGCAATAGACAGTCAGTTGCCGGAGGAAATTAAATATTGGCAACTTAATTGGCAATGTAAGCACTTTGGTAATTTTAAAACCCGAGGAAAGGAGAAAAGGAAAATTCAACACGTCTTAGCAAAAGGATGTTCATTCAAAATATCAGCAACGTATAATCGGCTTCTTAAAAAGTTTGTTGTTACAAGAGCTGATTTATTACACAGTAATCACGAAGTATCTTCGGAGTTATATTACCTATACCACGATTATCGCAAACCAGTACCTGAACGACAAGCTGAAATTGATAACTTGCTTCTGATGCATGCCAATCCTACACTTGTATCTAATGTATTACACCAAGAAGGCTCTCATGTACGTGTAAAAGATTTGTATAACCGGAAGCAAAAACTTTTAAAAAGTGTTGGCTCTATTAATGAAGCTGTTCAAAGTGCACTCTCACAACCCGGAGTAATTAGTCGAATAATTTCAGGAAAAGATAACTTTTTCGAAGTATTATTTTTTCAAACTGTACACCAGCAAATGTTATTTTCAAAGTTTAAAGAAGTGATTCAAATGGATGCAACTTATAAAACAAATAAAATGCGTTATTCTCTTTACACTTTATTAATAGAGGACAATAATGGATTGGGACAACCAATTGGATTTGGTATTCTTGCTAAAGAAGACCAATCTCACATAGAAAAATTTCTTAAAATATTTTCTGAATTCAACAATATTACTGGGGTCCAATGCTTTATCGTCGATAAAGATTTGGCCGAAATTAACGCTATTAAGACAATTTTTCCTAATATTCATATTAATATTTGTTACTTCCATATCTTAAAGGCTGCTGATAAATTTCTTTGCGGTTTAAATAAAGTACACAATAAAAAAGTTTGTATGGACCACTTTGAAACTTTGCTCAATTCAAAAACATCGAATGATTTTGATAATGAAGTTGATAAAATTAAACATTTCTCGAACAATTTCCACGACTATATTTTACAAAACTGGGTTCCTTTTAAACAAAACATTACGTCGTTTAGTGAATCAAACATAATGCATCTTGGAAACAAAACAAATAACAGAATTGAAAGGTTTCATAGCGCGCTGAAACGTGTGTTAGGATATGCTCAGTTATCTCTACATGGTTTAATAAAAAGTTTATTGACCATAGTGGAAGTTCGCTCGTTTGAAACTCATCATCGCCAATTTGAAATGATTATGAAAACACCTATAGTCACGCAACCAAATGTTTCCGAATACTACAAACTTTGTACAGACTACGCTGCAAGAATAATTTCTAAAGAAATGGAACTTCTACAATCAAAAGATTATAATGTTGTTAAAATCAACAACAAGTGGTCGGTGAATAATAAAAATTCACAAACATTTTATACTATAGAAGGTTTAAAATGTTCCTGTGGCATGCCAACACAAATGGGAGTTCCCTGCCGACATCTATTTGCTTTATGGAAATTTAACAACGAACCTATTTATCAACCACTTTCAGTTTCATCCAGGTATGCATAACTTGTAACAGTTTTTGTTTTTTCGTGTTATTTTTGTTTTGATTTATTTAAAATTTATAGGTAATACAAAGACGCACAAAAGAAACAATACTATAGGCTATAATTTATTATTTTAATAATAATTAAGCATTCTTATTCTGTACATATTTTTATAGGTGGAAAAAAGAGTTTTTGCCGAGTGTTGTCGAATCTTCTACCAGTACGGTTGTTTCTTCTGCCTCTAGTATAGTAACGCAAGCAATATTTGAAATGCCTAAAACAACTCGAATAGAAAGATTCAATAACGCAATGGTTGTTCTTAAAGATTTAGCCTCTCTTATTGCAGACCAACCTAGTGCAGCTTTTACTGCAAATATTGCTGCCATTGAAAAAATGAAAACACTGGTAATGTGTCAAAACGTTACAGCTTTAAATGTTGGTCTGCAAACTCTTATACATGAACTGCAACCACAAACGCAACCTACTCTCATTGTTGCACTACCAGCGCAAACATCACTAGATAATGTTGAAAAAATACAACTACCTGTTGAAGATTTACAACAATCACCAATTATATCAGAAGAAAACCTGATTCCACAGTTAGCATCACATAACGAAGTTATTTCATCACCTCTTGCAGAGTATGATCAACCAACGTCAAAAGCAGGCGAGCAAGCATGTGAGAGTAGCTACAACAATGCTAACCAATTAACATCTTTAAGTCAAGTAGTTTTTCAACAAATTCCTAAGCCCCGTGGACGACCAACTTTAACACGTGCAAGGCCTTTTAAAATCAAACGCAGATATGACCAAACTTTAGCAAAGACAAATCGAATAAAAAAATTTAAAAATATTCTGGAAAAAAGAACTTTAAAACAAAACAAAAACATAAATGACAACATTTGTTTTTTATGTGGAGCTGACGAGCCACCCATAAATGTTTCATTAATTGACTGGATTGATTGCAGTAATGATTGTGGTCGTTGGTTTCATACTTCCTGTTTGTTAACCAATAAAGAGCAATGTATAGATAACTACTGTTGTGCATGGTGTCGTAAATAGCTCAAGCAGAAGTAACAATTCTTGGTAACAGTTATTCGCTGTCCATGTTATAAAAAACATAGTAAAGTATAAGAAAATTATATCTCTATTACGGTATTTAAAAAATTAACTTTATATTAACCTTGCAAAATTTGCTACTTCGAGAGTCGATCGTATAGTACTTAAAAAAAATACTATAATCTTTTATTTATATTTGTGCAACGTACTATTACATTTATTTTGACTGTGAATTATTTTAATCATGTTTACTCTATGACTTATATTTATATTGAAAGAGTGAATATATATATATATATATATATATATATATATATATATATATATATATATATATATATATATATATATATATATATATATATATATATATATATAAAATAAATAAATTATTCCTAAATGATAATACGTTACTTAAGGAAACGGATGTTGACTTTGATAGAATAAAAAACCTTAAAATCAGAAAAGTAGATTTTGCGATTTATTCGAAAAACTGTTTATTATTTGACCAATGTGTAAGTTTGTTTTTATTTTTAATTCGATTCTTACACGTACGCAAATTATGAAATCATCAAAATACTTGTTGCGTACTCAATATATTGCAGTTTATTGCAGCGCATAACAACTTGAGTTAATATTTGCTACAGTCTTAATGAATAATTAAAATCCAAAATAACAGCAATTAAAAACTAAAGAAACTAAAGCGACATTTAAATATAGCTAAAATAAAAATACAGGCAAATTATAGGAGCAACATCCAGCATACACATAAATGATACACATTTTTATTTTAATACTTATTTCTAAATGTATTAAACAAGCCTTACGTACTAAACCATAAATAAAAAAAATTACTATCTAATTAAAAGTGATTTTTTTAAAGATGCTCCAAGCAGACACTGGGATAAGACTGTTAGGGTCTTATCACAGTGCACTACAGAGTAGTATTTAATTAGGAAGTTTATGCCTCCTTCCTTACCTATGTCGATATTTGGGCTGAATCGGCATTGAACCTCGAATCTATTTGTTATGGGTCAGAACTCTAACTACTGCACCAATGCTTCTTTAAAAATAATAAATAACTTAATTTAGTAATAACTTATTTTATAAAATAAGTTATCAAATACGTCAAATTAAGGTCCTGACAACACGTCTTGGCGTTTTTAAGTAAGTTTATATAGTTATTAGGACATATTTTATATGACAAAATCACACCTTATGCTATATGGCAAAGCGAGGCGACGTCTTTTTCGGACATCATTCGCGTTTTCAGACGAATTTAAAGCATATTTATTGGACAACATTTCTTAATGTTTAAATTTTTTTCCTCAGCTTTTCTTAAAAACACACACATAAAAAAAAGAAAAAGGTTCTCGTATCAAAAAAAAATCTGGGCAAACCTAAAAATAAACACATTATTTAGTGTTCAAATTCACCTCAAATTGGCTTTTTATTTTTATCACGTTTTGGAAATACGGTTATGCTCATATAAAATCAAGTAAGGTACCTACTGCATTATGCTGTCAACACTATGCAGTCTGCAAAGTATTGATCAGGCCAAGAACTTTTCAATACATCTGTAAAAAAAGTTTTCTTCTATGATGCAAAAATGTTTAAAATTATTTTGCATTAGAACTTAATTGCAAATTGCAAAGAACAATAGAGTAGACACAGCTAATGCGTCTACTTTATGAAATACGTTAGGTGCGTTAGGATAGCTTTGAGACATTTTACTCAACCTACCATAAAAACTAATAAAATTTCCTCAATTTTAATCATACAAATATGAAAACAAAACACAAAGTATTTAAATACAAATATATTTCATTTAGTGCTTCAAAAATATTAAACAACAATTTTTGTTAAAGAAATGTTTATCTTTTTTATAATGTTTATGACTTGAATTTGTCATTCTTCATTTTATCGACTTTCATTATTTATTCCTGTACTTTGGTCGTTTTCGAATTATCTTTGTTTCTATTTTTCGAACATAAAAAAAAAAAGTTTTTTAAATTCATTTACTAAATTCAACTTAATCTGACTGGAATATAAAGACTTGAAAACTAATTAAAAACTAATTAAAACTATTAATGACGCTATACTTACATGATTGTCTTGAGTTGATTTTCTTAAACATAAGTTGAATCTTTTTGCTAAAAATTTTCAATTTCTTTAATTAAATAATCGGCATCAGTTAAATGTTTTTCAACTTGTTAAAAAAGAAAATAAAAATATTCATGTTTTAGTAATGTTTTAAAATATTCAAATTTATTTACATATTCCCTAATAATAAAACTAGTTCTAATAAAATAATCTAATGTAATTATAACTCTATATAATAATCCGGAAATTTTGGAGTACGTACTTTATGGACGACTCTTCCTAAAATTTAGTGAAATAAAATAACTACATAAATAGTAAGTATTAAATATATAAGTTTCAAAGTTATATGTTGCACCAGGACTTCAGTACTAGTCTGATACCTATACTCTCAAAGATCACAATCCTATTGTTAAAAGCGGATCAATTTGAATGTCATCGAAATGATCCAGTTTTTAAATAATTGGCTTCTGGATACTATTTATTGCCTATTGTCTGAGGATACTAGCTAATTTCTAAATGCTATCGCTAACATTATTCACCACCACTAAGAGCGACAGCTTAACGTACCCGCAACACATCAAGTTATTGTCCCAGATATTTTTAGCAAAGGTTCCTAACTTTGACTAGGAATAACTTGTGAGCATGTCTTTTTTGATGCTGGCATAAAGCTCATAATGTCACATTTTGTTTTTGAACTGTCAAAAATTTCTAAAAATAGGAAAACAGATTTCTTCTCTAAAAAACCAACTGGTGTACAAAAATAATTGATGATTGGTCAAAATTTTTAGCACATAACCCACAATATAATGAAGAAATGAAGGTGGAGTTGTTTAAACGCATGGCTATAAATATTCTAAAAGCAAAATAAAAACGGAAAAGGTGTAGAAAAAAATATGTCATATGAGGCATGATTGACACTAAAAGTCAAGATACTTTATCAACCATACTTCAACAATACTTTCTCTGACTTCTTAGCATTAAAAAGAATATTTTTTAGTGCTACCAAATTAAAAAAGAAAAATTTATAATTTCTTAGTACTAAAAGATATTCTTTTAATTCGTTTCATTTCAACTATAACATCAAAAACCGACTAAAAAGAACTCTAAGTTAGGAAGTCATCAGACATATATCGGTAAAGACATTATCATAATTTAATTATGATATTTTATCATAATTAAATTTCATTACTAAAAGAAAAAAAAGTCATAAGATGTTTAAAAGAAATATAAATAGACATACTTCAGTCAGGTTTCTCCCTTTTATCACCAATTGAATAACTGTTTTATATAAAAATAAACTAATAACATCTATTTCAACATTTTTACAATTTATATAAATTTATGAGGCCTTTATAGCATAATATTTTGTATAATTTGAAAAATTACCTTAATCTAGTTTCTTTAATACTTCAACTAATAGATTTACTATTTGTATAAAAAAAACTGGTAACAAATATACCATTAATTAAGATGTTATTCATAAAAACCTCATTGTTTAATGTTTAAAATAAATAGAAAGAGTACATACACGAGTCAGGTTAGTAGCAGATTTTGCTGTGTTGGCAAACCCAGTGAGTGTGTTTTTATGCACACTTTGACAGTTGTTATGCTTGATAATTCCTAAACCAGTAATCAAGAACAACTTTAAAATTATCAAATTACCGATTGTGCTGATACAACTTTATTTAAAAACCAGTTCCACACATTCACAATTCTATTGAAAAATAAATATTCTCTAGATGGAAGTTTGGCAAATTCTTTGTAATATTTAAAACAGTTACCTCTCAAGTTGTTATTTACAAATGAAAAACTTTTGTAGATTTCTATATATTAAATCCCATGAACAAATTTCTATAATTGAATCAAGTCACCTCTTTTTCTTACATTTAAACTGGTTAAGTCTAAAGAAACAAGTCAATCTTCATATGTAAGGTAACTTATTGAAGGTACAAGCTTTGTTGATCTATGTTGCACTCTTCCAATAGCATCACAATCTCCTTTCAAATAAAGAGACAAAACAGGAATAGCAAACTCTAAAAGAGGATGAATGTAAAATAAAGGCAATGTACAGTCAAATCTCGCAAATGATTTTTTTACACAAGCTAACATTTGATTTGCTTTACCAATTGCCATGGTGACTTGTTCCTTCCGTTTAAGATTTAACTTTTTCTTAAGATACTAATGTTGCTGTTGTGCCAACAAATTATTATCATGAAAATATTTTTCAATTTTACTTTTAACTATTCCTTTTTTTTGCTTTAAAATTAAATAAAATGAAACAATGTTAACCATAAATTTCTAATTTAGAAAAATTAAAGTCAATGTTTAAGCCCTTGCGAAAACAAAAGGTCATTGACAATATCAGGTGATAATTCAAGAACCCAGCCAGCAGAGGAAAATGTTCTCTCCGATGAAGTGCTGGTTGCAGGAACTCCCAAAATTCTTTTCCTAATATCAGAAAGATTCTTCCATTTTGTAACCCTTTCTTTCCTGCATAACAATATGTTATCTTGCAATCCATCACAATTTTATAAATATGCAACCTGAAGGATAATAAACATGATGATTTTATAGGATGAAAATGAAGTTATTAAAAATAACTAAATTTTTCATATGTGAAAAACATTGGCCTGAAAATACAGAAACAACTAAGCTTCCAGGTAGCTATACTCTGCACCAAGTGTTTTTAATGTTCCTTTTTCTTGTCTACCAAAGCCAAAGTCAGTGTTTTGCCAATCTAAGCCTAAGGATCAGCAACTTAATTATTTTCTTAAAAAAGACAAAACAAATTCGTTTTCTGAATTCTAACCTGACAAAGAATTACACAAAAAGTATCAGTCTATAATTTCTGCCACAAACATCGATTTTATATTACAAAAAACATTTAAAAAAGTAACAAATGATTATTAGAAAAATGCTTTTTTGATAGTTGATGAGTAAAAATTAGACCAACAGTTGCTTATTCAGGTGGAGTTTTATATGGGATGGTAAAAAATGATTAAGAGTCTGAAGCAACTTCTATGCTAAGTGTAATGATGAAAAAATTACCTGGTGGACCTAATTGTATGGTTTCTATTACACCTGTTCACAAACTAACATCAATGTATCAATTCAGTGTTGTGAAAGAAGCTGTTGTTTTAGCTGAAAAAAATAGTGCCATTATTTTAGGATCTGTAACAGATAATTATATAATCAATCAGCACTACTGCAAAATCTTCAAAATAGCTACTGACTGTAAGGCCATTCATCCATTAGATGATCAGCGTGTTTGGTTTTTTTTGTTTGATACAGCTCATCTTCTTAAATGTTTGCGTAACAACTGGATTTCTGAAAAGTGTCAAAAGTTATCTCTTGACAATAAAACCATTGGTTCTTTTTCTGATGTCAAAAACCTATATCATTATGAAAAAGATAATAATTTGAAATTAGTTCCTATATCATGCTGTTGTCTCCTTCTAGACTTCAACTACAGAATGTGCAACACGTTTTAAAAAAATTTAACGAGAAAGTAGTAGCTGCTTTGAAACTAAAAGGAGCTTTTGAAACATCGTTATTTATTCAGCAGGTTTTAGATTGGTGAAATATTGTTAATGTTTCTGCAAAAAGCAGAACATTAGACTAAGAGACCACAACCAATTTGTGCAAAATAAAAATTCGAATAATCTTCAAATATTTTTAGAACTATGTAAATCTATGAAATCAGGGCATGGACCCAAACGACTTCAATGTGTTACCCATGATACTGATAAAAGCCCTTGTGTAAATCACTGAAGGAATAATAGCTGTTCGCAAGCATTTGTTTTCAGTCAGTTTTGATTGCTTCTTACTTTGTGAGTTACAAAGTGACAGAATTGAAGGAGAATTTTCTGTTTACAGGGAATCAACAGGGGCAAATGTTTTTATGGCAGCTGGGGATGTTTTTTGTGCTTTTAAAAAGCATTTAACTCAACTTGCTGCAGCATTTCTAGAATTATTGGAAGTAGAACAACCTAATAAAAAAGATTACACATGTGAAGGTCCAATCAGTTTTGAAGAAGTGACTTCAATTGAAACTTGCATTTATGATGTGAGTCTTTCAGAAACTGAAGAGAGCTCTGCTGCCTATGTGGCAGGATAGCTGGAGAAAAAATGTGAGGGTGAACTTGTTTATGCTGAGGATGAACCTATACTAACAAATGAAGCTAAAGACTTTATTGAAGAGGTTTCACAAAGATATTTGGCAGTTTCTCATGAGTGTACATATCGGCTAGTTAGAATTTGGTTATGCTTTGTGAAAAAAATGAAGCACAAAGTATGTTGTAGAAAAAATCTTATAAACATTCTGTCTATAATAAATACATATTATAATTTTGCTTTATCATCAAAAAATCTGTATAGGCGTTTGGCTAATGTTCTTTTGCATGGAATTTATAATTTGGAAAAAGACCAAACAAAAATTGCATGTCTTTATCAGATATCAATCAAAAAGGCACGCCTTGCCGAATAATATTTATAGACTTTATTAATTTGTGTTTGTTGTTAACTTGCTTATAGAGTTTTATATACTAACTCTATATATATATATATATATATATATATATATATATATATATATATATATATATATATATATATATATATATATATATATATATATATATATATATATATATATATATATAATAGGGCTGTACTGGATTTAATTTTTCCAAATCCGGCCGGAGCCGGATTTGCCAGATTTCTACTAATAGATCTGGCTGGAATCTGAGCCGGAGCCAGTTTTTGAAGCAAAACTACAGGAGCCAAAATCCTGTAAATCCCTACTTGGTTTGAAAAATGGTCAACAATGTTGACTATTCAGAATACCAAGTGACAGTTTTTTTCTGTTAAACTTCATTTTTGTTGTTAAAAAGTTTTATAGGACTTTCTATAGAAATTAATAGACATTTTATATAAATTTTATAGAGTTTCTATTGGCCATATATTTCAAAAATTTAGAGAAATTCTATAGAACTTTTTTTTCCGGGATGTTGTTACTCCGCCACTGTAATCAGAGTGTCTATATATTTTTAATCACTGTTAATCAGAGTGTCTATATATTTCTGATTCTTCCAGATATTGGCTTAGCTAAGTATCAATGCCTATTGGTAATTGTTGTTTATGTGCTGTGCTACAAGCGGGCGTAGACTGAATAATTTCATCTATATATTGCATCATATATATATACCATTGTAATGATGGTAATTTAAAAGAATTATCCAACCGGGCTTACACACATATATATATATACATTTTGTTAAATTTAATTTTATAAGCGTTTAGTAAGATGTCAGTGTAATCTGTCAGTGTTGTAACCTGTCAGTGTTGCCTGTAATGAGAAGAGTCTAGTTTGAAGTTAATGATCAACCAGTGTCACCACTATATAAAAAAGTTTCTCCTCAATGCCTTTAAAATACTCATCCAACGACTTGATTAGGATTGACTTCATAGTCTTTACACCTACATTATAGCAGAATATCGTTTGTCTTCCCTTCAGAATTTTTATTGTGTTGTTGTTTGAAATTAGGCTTTGTATTTGAAATACCAAAACAAACATGAAGTATTTGTATTTAAAATACCAAAACAAACATGAAGTTCTTCTTACAAAATTACTAAAAATAAAATATTAAGTATGCATGTTATCACGGGCAAGAAAGATGTAATAAATGTCTGACAAAAATTCAGAAATCCTGCTAAAATTATGCCGGGTTCGCAAACATTTTGCCAGATTTTGGATTTGGACCGGATTTGTAAAAATGCCAGAGCCGAAATTCATTACAGCCCTAATATATAAACATATATATATATATATATATATATATATATATATATATATATATATATATATATATATATATATATATATATATATATATATATATATATTTAAATATATATATACACACATATATATATACATTTTGTTAAATTTAATTTTATAAGCATTTAGTAAGATGTATTTAATGGTCTTCACTAGCCAATTCAGAAAATTGAATTTCCGCGTCCTGTCATATAGTAGTCTTTGTTTATCATAAATACATTATTTACAAAAACATTATTGTGTAATGTTTAAAATTAATTAAAACAATATATGAACCAGGTTTCTTTACTTCCTCAACTATTTGATTTACCATTTGTATTAAAATAATGTTTTAATATTTATTCTATACCTTTCATATCAAAAATGTTATTTACAAAGACTCGATTGTTTAATGTTTAAAAGAAAAAAAAGACATACCTAAGTCAGGTCAATTCACAATGATTTCCATAAGTAGTAAACAGTTTGGTTTACTGTTTATACAAAGTCAGGGTCTTGTAATATAGTAATATAATCTTGTAATATAGATAACATAATTTCTTAAAAATAATAAAAATATATTATTTATAAAAAACGTCATTGAATAATGTTAAAAATATGTTAATACAGTACCTAAATCAGGTTTCTTTACTTCTTCATTTATTGGATTTACTATTTATATAAATAAAAATTATATAAATAATTATTCTATATCTTTTACAGAATCTATCATAAAGATTTTATTCTTAAAAATATCTGTATATAATGGTCTGTAGACAAGACAAGATTTATGTTGTGTTAGTTTAATAAAAAAAAAATTATTTAGTTTACACAAATAGAAACTTTTCCATCCTTATATATTTATGAGTGATTATAATTAAGCATTTTTATGCTTTAGAATTGATTAGAAATTGTAAAAAATATTAGTTTTGTTAAAATTTTTAAATAGCTGACTAGTGATCAACTATGGTTAAAAACTATGATTAGTAGTGCATGTTGACTAGTGATGAACTATGTTATACAAACCAAAATTATGGTTTTTATAATTTCACTCCTAGAATTTGTTAGCACAAGTTGGCATTCTTATCTAAAAACAAGAAATTGTGCAACTGGACACAACACATTTTACATCACAAAGACAAAAAATTACACATGCAATATGTATTGAGGAACTAGTGCTTAAAAAACTTTCAAAAGTGAAAATAGATTTTTCATTAAATGTTTTACACAGCACCAATACTTAAATACTTTCAAAAATATCTTGGAATGTTTTAAATGAACTATTTCTAAAATAATATCCTCAATATTTGTTTAAATACAAAATTATCAATGTTTCAAAATTAACAATGTTTTTAAATTTTTATAAGTGTTTAGACAAAAAAAAATACTTTTTTTAATTCATTAAGTACTGAAGCAATTAATTAAGTACTGAAGTTTAGTAAAGTTATTAACAGTTAATAATTAACTTGATATCAAGATGTTGACATCATGATACTACAATGATACTACTGCTAACATAAAATAATGCTTCAGTATATTGTTAGCTAAATTATATTTAATAAATTCTTAAATTCAAATTCTTACAATATTTTTGTAGACATAACTTGTAACATATTACTATTATTTTTAGCTTTGTCACTCGTCAATTCACATTAAGTTTAAATGTCGCTTTACAAAAACCAAAACTTGAAATCAAAACAAACAGAAGAATGTATGAAATTTGCGCATGCGTTAATTTTCAGCCGCAGAAGCAATTTATTAACGTTTAGAGAGGCTGAATTTTCAGCCGCAGAAGACTCGAGCTTTTTAAAAATAAGGCTTACAGCATAGTCATAAGAATAAATATATTTCTTATGACTAGCATAGTCATAAGAATAAATATATTTCTTATGACTATGCTTACAGTCATTCTGGGTAACTTTGAATTTGCGGGTAACATTGAACTAAACGTGTAAATGTTATTAAATTTTTTTTTCTTTGGTATTTTCTTTGCCTGTTGCTTTAACAAAGAATAATATGATGAATTATCTTTTTTTACAAAAGTTTGACCAAAGAAAATTAAATTTTATTTCTCAAAAATAATGTTTTCCTCCATTTCCAGTTACACAGTCTAATGTGGTGATAACATCGTGCGTTTTCAATTTAGAATATTTGGTATTATATTGTAATTATCTGAATAGATTTTTAAGTATTTTATTGAATTATTTTTCGAACTTTTATACAAACTCAAAATAATAGGATTTAACATGTTTTTTGCTACAAAAAGGATATTTATTTCCACTTAGCTAAAATATAACCAAATTCAGGGTAACTTTAGACAATCAATATTTTCCAAAAACGCTTTTTTTGTTGTCTGAGTAACATTGCAATAATACATAATAAATAATAGGCATCTTTTTATTATAGTATTTTTATTATATAATGATATATGATATTATAAATATTAAAAATTATAACATATATTAATTATAATTATAATTAATATTAATTATAATTATAATTATAATTATTACTAATATATTAATTTTTGATATTTATGGCTATCTTGATAGATTTAATAATATATTTTATTAATAGCAAATATGCGATTAATTAAATAATTTTCATTAATAACATAAATCATCTTTATATTTTTAGCATTCATAAAATGCCAAGAAAATGTTCGACAAGTCATCCTGGCACTAGAAAATATGGCACTAAATCTAATTACACCAATTCTACACTTCAAGAGGCTTTAGCCAAAATTAAATTAGAAAAAATGTTGATTGGTGAAGCTTCTAAAATTTATAAAGTACCTAAAGCAACATTATTTTATAAGCTAAAAAATAAACACTGTAAATCAGTAGGGCGCCCTATTGCCCTTAGCATTGATGAAGAACTTTGTTTTGAAAATCACTTACTTTATTTAAGTGACAAAGGTATACCAATTGGAATTAATGATTTTAAAAGTATTGTCAAAATCTATTTGGATGATAGTGGAAAAAATATACAACAGTTTAAAGATAACCGACCAGGTTGGGAGTGGTGTAAACTTTATCTTGACAGGCATCCATCATTAAAAGAAAAAGTATCTCATTGTATTTCAAGGAAACGTGCACAGATTAATTTTTGTCAAATAAAATTATTTTTTCAAAATCTAGGGAAGGAATTAAATGGAGTAACGCCAGATAACATTTACAATATGGATGAAACAGGGTTTCATGATGACCCTGGAAAAAAAAAACTTATTTTTCGTCGATCCTCTCGCCATCCAGAACTTATAAGAAACACAACAAAAACTTGTTACACTGTTGTTTTTTGTGGAAATGCCTCAGGAAAACTAATTCCACCATTTTTCATTTTTAAAGGAAAACACAGTTGGTCTGACTGGCTTTTCAATGCACCAGAAGGATCAAGAATGGCAACTTCTTGCAGTGGCTGGATGGAAATTCAAATATTTGAAGAGTGGCTGTTAAATCACTTTGTTCCAAATATTATAAATAAGGAAGGTAAAAAAATTCTGATTTGCGATAATTTAAGTGCTCATATATCTTTAAAAGCCTTAAATATATGTGAAAAGTATAATATAACATTTATATGTTTGGTACCCAATTCCACACACCTTTTACAACCTTTAGATGTTGGATATTTCTCGAGTTTAAAAGCTAATTGGAGGTCAGTTTTTAATCAATGGCGTAAAACATCCAGAGGAAAAAAGGTTAATAATCTGCCAAAAAATTTATTTACGCAGCTCATTAAATCTACTCTTAATGTTGGTAAAGAAAATCTAGAACATAGTCTCCAAGCAGGATTTAAGGCTACTGGCATATATCCATTTTTACCAGAACATGTTCTCTCCAAATTACCCAGTTTTACAAATATAGATATTCAACTCAATATTGGAGAATCGTTTAGGAATTATGTTGATGATATTCATCTTAATTAAGAAGTAAGCAACAAATTTAAGTTACCAATAACAGCAGGGAAAAGTGTATCAGCCACTGAGGTAGAAGCATACTATAAGGAAAGAGACAATAAAAAAAAAAGTCAAGATAATATTCGAGCAAAGAAAAGAGGAAGACCACTTGGATCAAAAATATGGTTATGAAAATAAACAAAGAACTTAATATTTTACAAAGTTCAAGCATTGTAAATGTTAATCAAGTTATTGAAGACGATGAACAAGTTTTACCTGTATCTCAAAATGATGCAGTTTTTTCATTGGAGCAAATAAACAATCACTATGTACATGTTTTCCTTGATCATGATTATTTTGTAAAAGAGTTAGTTGAAACTCAAGACTAAAAGAAGGAAACACTGTAATATTTAGTTTTATAGTCAATGGTGTTTATTTGTGGAGAATTATATAAAAATGTCTTATTTAATTTTTTCTTTTATAACCTTAAAAATTATTTTGTGAATATTTTATTGAAAAACTTGTTTGTTTATTCTCGAAATATTTTATTGAAAAACTTGTTTGTTTATTCTCGAAATATTTTATTGAAAAACTTGTTTGTTTATTCTAGAAATATTTTATTGAAAAACTTGTTTGTTTATTCTCGAAATAGTTTAACTAGATTTTTTAAAAAATTAATTTAAACTTATACAAAGAAATTTAAACAACTTTTTAGATTTAAAAGATTAAAATTGACATTCAGTTTAATAGTGTTCAAAGTTACCCGAAATGCGAGGGTAACTTTGAACGCCTACTTGAACATTGTTTTTTTACATAATATCTAGCAAATTTAAAAAAATGATAGCAAACTAGAAAAAAGAGATCATCAGAACACTCTTTATGTAAAAATATTTGTTATCTAGTTAGTAAAACAATTTTTGTTGAGATAAGCCTAGCGCAAACCGTTCAAAGTTACCCGTAATGACTGTAGTTCTTGAGATATAAAAGGTTTCCTTCAACTGGGTAAATTTGATATGCTTAGCAACACGCATAGCAACGGGTTTTTTATAAGAATTGCCAGCTATTTAGTTATTTTTGTGTTATTTAATAAACTTTTTCAATAATGGGTAAATTATGCAGAGTTAAACAAAGTACTCAAATTAAAAAATCCAGAAGATTTCATGGAAATAGGTATACCAAAAATTTGACAAACAATTCAACTTTATCAGTAGCTCCTGTTAATAACAATGTTACCTGTTCTGAAAATGACCTTATTTTCAATAATAGTTCATTAGATTTATCTATATCCTCGAAAAAAGTTGAAAAAATTGAAACACCACATCAAAGTAATAATAAAACTGTTGGTTATCGTATTATTGACATTGAAATTTTATCTGGTGTAATAAGTCAATTATGTTGCAAAAATTGTTTACAATCTGGATTATTTCTTGAAGAATGTTTTCCTAAAAAAAAAGGTTTTAGCTCGATGTTGAATATATGCTGCCCTAATTGCAACAAAAAAATTGAATTTTATACTTCAAAGACATGCTCTGGGAAGAAAATTTTGATGTAAATAATAGAATAATTTATTCTATGCGTGCATGTGGTCAAGGTTATTCAGGACTAGAAAAATTTACTTCTTTAATGAACATTCCTACACCAATGACTAAGAACAATTACAACAAAATAATTAAACATGTCTCTGATTGTGCTAAAGTTGTTGCAAAAGAAACAATGTCTGACGCTGTTAAAGATATTTGTCAATCTTCTTCAAATATTGTTGATACTGCAGTATCAGTTGATGGTAGCTGGCAACGTCGTGGATTTTCCTCATTAAATGGAGTGGTTACTGCTATATCAATGGACACAGGTAAAATTCTTGATTGTGAACCAATGAGTCGATCATGTAAAGCATGTAGTTTAAAACTAAAACTTAAAGAAAATAACCCAAATGCCTTTGAAGCTTGGAAATCATCACATGTATGTAAACTAAATTATCGTGGCTCTGCTCCTGGAATGGAAGTAACTGGTGCTCAAAGAATATTTAGCCGTTCTATTTCACAAAACTGAGGTATGTAAAGTATTATGGTGACGGTGATTGTAAAAGCTATTCGTATGTTAAAGATACTTATCCTGGTATAACAGTGTGTAAGTTGGAGTGTGTTGAACATGTACAGAAACGTGTTGGTAGCAGATTGCGAATTTTGAAAAAAAATGTAAAAGGACTTGGAGGCAAAGGCAAATTAACAAATGCTATAATTGATCGCCTACAAAACTACTATGGAATTGCTGTTAGGCAAAATGCCAATGATTTAGAAGGTATGAAAAAGACCATACTTGCAACATTGTTTCATGTTGCATCATCAGCTGTAAATAATTGGCATGCTCATTGCCCAGATGGCATCAATGGTTGGTGTTGTTATAAACAGGATAAAGCTAATTTAACGTCTACCTACAAGCCAGGTGCTGGTCTTCCACTCTCAGTTGTCAGTCATCTAAAGCCTATATATATAGATTTATCTCAAGAAGAACTCTTAAAAAAGTGCCTTCATGGTAAAACCCAAAACCAGAATGAAAGTTTTAATGGAATGATATGGCAGCGCATACCTAAAACAAAGTATGTTTCATTAACGCAGTTGGAGTTAGGAGTTTATGATGCTGTTTCAAATTTTAATATTGGAAGAAAAGCAAGCATACTTTTGTTTGAAAAGTTGAATATGATTCCTGGTATTTATACTCTCCAAGGCTGTTCAACCATGAACAAAAAGCGCTTAATTTTTGCAGAATATCGAAATCGGATTACATCTAAAAAGCAACGAAAAGTTATTCGTGGATGCAAAAAAAAAAAAAGGATGATGCAGAGAATGATCAAGAAGGATGTCTTTATGACCCTGGTTCATGTTCATATAAATAAAAGTTTTTCAATTGAGTATACGAGAGAAAACATTATGAAAATTTATGAATATAATATTCAAAGGAGTTTTTCTCAAAATGTAAATTTTTGACCTCCCGGCCATCCTATCTCATTAACCGTAAGTTAAATTTGTATGAAATTTTCACCAAATGTTTATTGCATCTGGTTGTACAATTGGAACTAAAAGTTTTTTAATGCAATCAAGAGTTTTTGATTTATAGAAGTTTCAAGTTACAAAAAAATCATATTTTTAGTACGCCATTTTGAAAATTTCATTATAGGTCAAGTACTAAGTTTTTTAAATAATTTTAGTTCAGTTTGTAGATCAATATGTTATTAACCATATGCCAAAAATGCATAACCTACATGCTTTCAGTTACTGAGATAGCTTGGCCGGGGTAACTTAAATATTTTTAAATGTCGGCCATTTTGCTTGGTAGCCATGACAATTAATAAATTTATTTTGTATTTTTTTAAATCCTTTTATCTAGTTGTTTCTCAAGATAAAATTTTTTTTTGTTAAAAAACTTTTTTTAATAATTTTTTTTTTGAGGGGTCTTATACCTTAAGTTAAAACCAGTGATAAATGCGTTTTTGATAGATTCATTGGAGTAAATATCGGCTGTTACCGGTTTAAAGTTGCTATCTCTTGCTAGGTTTCAGAGAGCTTAAATGAATTCGTTTAGTGTTTCACCAATTTGTTGTTTGCGCGTTGTTAATTGATGTCGCGTGAATATTTCGGTTTTTTGGTTTGGTTTAACGTACAACGATATAAGAACTTCAATCGCATTTTCAAAAGTTAACGAATCAGATATGTATTCATAAACTGTCGGCCATACAAAGCTTATTAGTATTCTCAACTTTTCTTTAGATCTAGAGTCTAAAGATAAAAAAAGTTTTTGAGAGTTTTAAGCCAGTGAATCCATTCTCTGCTTGACATTAAAGAATTTGGATTTGCGTCAAATCTTTCGAGACGTCAAAACTTTCGAAAAATATTTCTCCATCAAAATAATTTTAAGTTTCACCCAAAACTTTGTATTTTTTATTTTTTCTAATTTATAGAAATACAGATATTATAAATACATTTAAATAATAACACCTTTTAACTATTAAGGACGCTAAACCAATGCAATAGCTATTTTTAAAATAATAACTAATAACGCAATAATTCTTAAGAGAGATATTAAGTCACAATAAGTTCATAACGTTTATAAATGATTTGGTCTATCACGAACAAATTGATTAAAGAAATTATTTCTTGGAAAAATAAACATGCATTTATAGCTTATACCATTCTCAATAGTGCCCTTCGTTTTTAAGAAGTTAATGCTCCAACTTGCGTAACACCTTTACAAGCAGTTTTCTTGTTTCGCTTTTGCACAGTGGTGATACCAGTCTCATCAACGTTGTAAATATTAGATGTAAAAAAATAATGTAAAAAATCTGGGTGCGTATTCACCAAACTTTCGTAATTCTTACCTAGCTCAACTAAGGTTACGGAAACTGTACGTTCAGCGTTGTTTTCGTAACTATTTGGTTTTCACCAATGTTTCGCAGCATTTTCGTAAAGTTAGGGTTGCGCACGAGTTGCGCTGAACTTACGCAAAAAATAACAGAGAAACGAAATCGTTTTTTTTTTTTCTTTAATGAACGAAGTTTTCGTAATTTTATAAAACAAACTTTTCTTATATTAAATTCATATAACTTCTAACAAATTTAAATTAGGGATTATATCTAATAAATATTTTTTTACAGCCTAATAAAATGACAAAACTTTATAAAACTTTGCTATAAAAACTAAATAAATATTTTTTTAGTAAAAAACATAAAAATTAGGAAAATAATTTTAAGTAGAAAAGAGGGAGAGCGGGGTTCAGAATCTATTAATACTATTTATTAGATATTAACATTCTTTATCTACTGATAAGGCAATTGTTCATTTTGTTCATGATATTCTTAAATCTTTTGATAAAAATAAATATACTTTAGGCGTTTTTATTGATCTCAACAAGGTTTTCGTCACTGTAAATCATTTTGTCTTATTAATCAAATTAAAAAATTGCGGTATTAAATACTCGGTATTAAAATACGGTATTAAATGCACTTAAACCTTAAATGGTTTAAAAGCTACCTGTCAAATAGACAACAATATATTTCTCATAATTACGGAAAAACTAACAATATGAATATATCTTGTGGAGGACCACAAGAATCAATATTAGGACCGCTCTAATTTCTAGTATATATCAATGATTTAAGCAAATCTTGTAACATCTTATTTG